CCTTCTTTTATTTTATAAAATTTAATTTATTCTTCTCTGCCTAAAGTTTTTCTTTTTTATGAATATTTTTCCCTCCAAATTTTTCACAACTTTTTGTCTCTGTTGTTGATGTTTATGTCATGTTTTAACATTATGTTTAGTAGCGTCAAGGTTATAAGTAGCAAAATAGAGTGTCTCATAGGATTTAAAACTTATTTTTTTTTTCTTGATGACGAAAAATTTGGAGCTTTGGAAACGCTATAATGAGATTATTTTGACAGATAAAATTGTACTAATACGATAATGTAATTTAATATTGATGTCACAATCTATAAAAAAATTAAAATAGTGATTTAATGTTGTACTTTAAGTATAAAATGAATTATTTATATTAAACACTCACAGAATACCACAAATTGTAATTTAAGGTGAAAAGATTATGAAATGTGACGTCTACATTACCATGTAGTAATTCAAGAGAAAATTCTTCAATCTGAAAGAAAAATATGTCACCAAAGATAGATTGTGTTTATAGAGGAAACTTGCTTTATAAAACAACCCTTACCGACTGTTCAAGCTCTATATTGTTGATTCCAAACGAGCCACTTTTTAAAGTCTTTAACATATTTTTACAGGAATTCGTCAACAGCTTCGCAACATAAATCGAACTGAATATTTCATTGAATATGAAGCATACATATAGTACATTGGCTCCATACAAATATAATCCAAATCCTATTAGGTATTCATGCATTATATAAACTGTCATTGCCTTTTGTTTTAATGTTAAAGAAAAAGAAAATACAAATTTTTAATACATCAATGAATTCCTTATATCTGCAAAAAAAATGAATGAAGTATCATTGCTATGAGAAATATTCATCATTCATTGTGAGGTCGTTCATAAACGATGTCACAGTTACAATATGAAAATTATTAGAATTTTAACGATATTTTTGAATGATTCCTAAGAAGTTCTAGTACAAATAAGGGAGGAAGTGATGGGTTTGTTCACAAGTAAAACTAATCAAGTCTTGAAGCTACTATCTTCCATATAAATTATTATTATTTTAAAAAACTTTATGTTAGTTTAAAAATAAAATGCGCTCAAGGCATTAAGGATATTGAATAATTGTTCGAAGTTTATCGAACAAAATTTAATTAAAAAGTTCGACACATTGCTTCGACTGTTACCAATATAAAAGGATGTTAGTAAACTCAATTTATATATCGAGTGTTGGAAACATCTAAATTAAAATCCATCTTAATGAAACTTTTTCCAATTAAACTAAATAATCAAGACAATAGAATTAAATGTAAAAATATTTCTTACCCCAGAACAAGTTGTAGCAACAGCATATAAAAAGTTGACAATACAACATTTTGAAAAAATCTTTATAACTCGTTTACAATAAGCAGCTAATCTTTTAAATTCAACAACATTATTCAAAAAGCTCTTGTGCTCATCCTTTGTGATATTTTCTCGAACAGAGTTGTTGATTCTATCAAATTCAAACTTTATAAGCAGCAAAATGAATAAAAATACGTTAAATGCGATTAAACTGAGGAAATTCAATACATAAACCAGAAAAAATGCTGTCGATGTTCCTAAATTTGAAAATATAGTTGACATGTTTGAAATCATATTTATAAGTAAGAAGCAGTTGTCAATCAACAAAATTTTGCAAAATAGAATTTTTAACATTTTTCTTTCATCATTTACTTTATGATCGTCTGTATTTTTAAGAATCAATATTCCTGTGTTGCATATTATTCGAATTTCCTCTCGATTAAATAAAACAGTGCCGTATAATGCCAACGCGAAAATGAATAATGTTATGTACTCTAAACCCCAAACAATAGCTATGATTTGCGGATGATTAGACTCGCGGAACAAATAATTTAACAGCAGTTTCATTTGCATTGGCAGAATAATTAGAAGGAGTATGAGAGTAATATTGTTACAAATTTTCAAAACTAGACGAGTTTTCACTTTTCCTTCTTTGCCATCGTATGTGAAATCAATTAAGGCAAAAAATATGCTGATGTAATAAAAATATATAGTCAACACTTTCTTTACTGAAAACATGCTCGCGTTTATCATGTGATATCAAATTACGAGTGAATATGAATAGACTTGATGTAATACTGAATATCATCCTTCCTGAAATAATAACGATTGCTATGGAAGTAATTAAATAAATTACAAAACCGATTAATTTTTCATGCGAGTTTTAATACTAAACAAATATCGAATTGTTTTTTGTACATTTTCATTTATTTCACGAGCATTAATTTCAAAAGTTTTAATCATAATCTTAAAATATTTATAAAATAAATTGAATAAATGACAACGAATATCTTTAACCAATATTTTAATGTTCATTAATGAAAAATTCAACGCAATAATTACTAAACCACCTTAATTTGTTAGACCTAAGAGGTAATGTCTTTAATTTATGCGAAAATTGCTGTAAGCTTTTTATAATTTTTACAAATTCATTTTTTTCAATTTCAATATACGTTCTTACTAAAGAGAAAAAAAATTTCCTCAAAAAGGTTCTAATTCTGTTACTACGTTTAACCTTCTGAAACTTTATGGATGAAAAGCAACATTCAAAGTAATCAACGGGGCATTGAAAAATTGGGCATCCATGTTTCCACTTTAGCCTCATCAATATTATACTGAAAAATTATCAAAATTCACACAAGTTCCGAATTTAATCAACTGTGAATTTTGGAGGAAATGAAGTTTGAACTCAATCAAATGAAAAACTCTCTAAGGATTTAAATTAAGCATATGAAATTGATTGCTTATGTGGTATCTTTTTAACTCATATTGTTCCTTTACAAATTATTGAACATTTAATGTTATTTCAAAACATTTTTAACACATTTTTGTTTGTAGTTCAATCAAAAATGATGTGAACAGGTGAATAAATTGTTTTAAGCCATTAGTATCATCAATCTCCTTTTTTTTGTCTTGAATGCCACATTTTAAAAATAAGATGTCACACTTTGTTGATTCATTGTTAAGGGATGGCTTAAGATTCTTCTGAAAGCTTAAAATAAATTTCAATCGTTTATTTTAAGCTAGCTAGAGTATGTAATGTTGATAGATCTTGCAGAAACATGTATGGCTGTAATTTGTTTATGTGACAGTCAACAACAGAATTGGAAATATGTTTGGAAATTAATGTGATGTATTCCTTCTTAGAAGCTAGAATTTATTCATAAAGGTTCACCCAAATTTAGAGATCTCGATACACAGATTGAAACATGATGTTAATAAGGATGATATGGACAATGGAGATAAGATATCGAATTTATATTTATATATCATATGTCAAATGTCACAATTGCTTCGATACAGAATAGAATAAGAAAAAGCATAAAGTTTTTTGATAATATTTAAAACCATTTAAAGATTTAGTTTTGTTGAAGACATCATTTATGACTAAATCTTCTGCGCCCTATTAACATTTACAAAACTTTTAGTCCGTAAAAAAAAATTCCTTACAACAACCGCAAAATAATTAAGAAGAATCAATAAAAATATTTTTGAAACCCCAATAAATTCACAAATAAATCTGAATGAAATTAAAGTATCATGCCATTTCCCATTACAATTTGTTGACAAAAAAAATTGATGATATAATATTGATTTGATAGCCTCTTGATGAAGGCATTATAAATAATACATTTTTCATTGTCGAGTATTTCTCTATAGCTAGAAATACATTCAATAATAGATAGGATGAGTAATCTAATAACAGCAACGCTAACAGCAACGATATCAATGGATCAAAGATTTACATAAGAATCTTAGGAAAAGATTGACAGAAATCAAAATCTTTCTTGAAATGTTCCTCGTTTTCATTGAATGCGAAAAGCAGACAGTGCTAATGTCTAAAAAGAAATGTGCATACATAAATTTATTAAAATTATCAATTTCTGCATTGATCAAAATTTATTAAAAGAATTATTCACAATTACGGAACCAAAGAATTTATCAAATGAAATATTCAAATTGGTCTTTAAGTTCTCATGCCATCACTTAATTCTGTTCAATCACGAATTCATTAAGTAAGAAAATGTTTTTAGACGAAAAATAATTGAATGGGATTTGTCAGTGTTTAGAGACATTAATTATTCTCTTTTGGTATTCTATAAAAAGTGAAAATTCAACCTTATACAAAAATAATAAAATCAATCAACACCTTCAATTACCTACCTAAATATTAATTTTTCATCACCATCAACAGGTAGTTTTTGCAGAAGCTAATGAATATTAAGTGAAAGCTTGAAAAATTATTTCTGCGATAAAATCATTTAAGCATTATGAAGTCTTAAATCTTTGTTCCTATCGAATGAAATATTAAAAAAAATATATCAAGATTCAAGTTTATTGTCAAAGACAATTATAACTCATTTCACTTATTACGTGTTCATTTTAGGGGGGAGGGGGGGTTTGAAAAATTGTAACCAAATGTAACATAGGGGGAGGGGGATGTCAAGAAGTATGTAACGTTCTAACTGTCGTCTGTCTTTTAAAAAAAAGTTCACGAAAAAAAATTGTTTACAAATTCACACCAAAAACATTTTTTTTTTAAATTTTCCACCTTTTTAAAGATTTATGAATGTCCAGATCACTTTTGATAGCTAAGCAATACATAGTTTTTGTTATATAAAGTAACAAATCAATAGAAAACTGGTTTACAAGACTTTAAAATACAATCATAATTTGTGGAAATTTTTAAAATTAAATCAATCATAAGTTTTAAAGTGGGGGGGGGGGGGGGGGGGGGGGTGAGTTGTAACATATTGTAACAAGGGGGGGAGGGGGGTGAAAAAAGTAGTTTTTTTGCGTAACGTAATAAGTGAACGGCCCCTTAACAAGATTATCAAGTACATTCCAAAAATGTGGCATTAAGTTTGTCTATATACTTATTTTCTCTATACCGTACATCGATGATTACATTCATAATATTTGAGCCAACTTAAGTATTGAAATAAAGCTCAGAAACCATTGACAATCTTGTTTGAATTTTCTTTAAGGTTTTTATGCTAAATTTTGGGATTGTTTGAGCTTGAAAATTGTTAAAATGTCGTCTAGAAAATCTTGGGCTGCTCTTGAAGAAATGTATGGAACAAAAGAACGTAAACAAAAAGTTCGAATTGATAATATTCAAGTAATGGAATTACCAAAAGAGGAGTATTCGGATATCCTTCAAAAAATGAATAGAGGAGAAAAGTTGACTATTGATGAGATTCAAAAACTTCCAGAAAACTATCAAACTTTTTATTACTTACAAGATGATGCAGTCAAGGAAGAAGACAACATCAAAAGACGTGAAAAATTAAGAATAGCAAAAGCCAAACGAAGAGCTAGATTGGAACATGAAAAAATAATTTATGAAAGAGTCTTGAGAAAATTATTAGCAAATATGCCGTTGCTTCCATACGAAAAAGAAATTTACGAGAAATATAGCTCAAAACTATTGGACATTCAAGAGCCAGAAATTCAAGTAGATGCAGTGGATATTCTCAATGATGTAGTTAACGGAAATTATTCACTTCAAGATGTTGAAATGATTAGAAAATCATCAGAACTTCCTCCACCCAAAGATGATTTCCAGAACTCTCCAATTCGACTTTTGGATAATGTTGTTGAGAACATAAGGCAGCAAACACATGACACATTACAAAATTCCCAGTCTGACCATTTTTTCAAGGCTGTAGATACTGATATTCAGAATCGTTTGACTCCAATAAAATTGGATGAAATTATCTCGTCATGTGCAACAGGTAGCTTTAAAATGTTCTCTATTGTAAATTGTCTGTCTGAAAGAAATCGTTTTTCCATTAATCTTAGGAATTGACATGATGAGAGGAAGTAAATTTGAAGAGAATGAAGCAAGAGATGCTTGTGAGTCTTATATCAAAGCGATTGTAATGTATGAGGGAGAAATTAAAATTCGCAATGCTGTGCATGATGCGAATAAAAAGCAAATAGAAAAGGATATTGAAAGACTTGCTGAAGTTGCTGCTGTTTCTGGAGCATTCTCAGATAATAATACGCAAGAGACGATACAAGAATCATCAAACAAAGGAAATGAGTCTATGGGATTTAACATAACCAATACGAATTTTGACATTTCTTTTGTTCCATCGGATGATCCTGATGTTTACAAGCCTTTGGAAATTATTAGCTATGTTGGAATGACAAAATAAAGAAAATATAAGTCGAAAATTTATAAACGGATAAAAATTTATTTGAATAAGCTTTTGAAGCTAAAGCTTTCGAAAGCTTTCATGTTTATCCTTTTGAAAGCTTTATGTTGTAGAACGTGTATAGCTTCTATATAATGCCATTTCTAGTACCTCAATCTCAAAACTTTTAAACTCATTAACATCCGTACTCTACAAATTTCATATACTTTTTAGATAATACGTGCGTAATTCAATGAGTTGGCAACAGACTGTAAACAAACTATTCAATGTGACATGACTTAGAACGAAATGCAACGATAAACGCTAAGAAAATGTAAAATAAGAATACGTGAAAATAATTTCAATTTTCTGAGCAACTATTGACTTTTGATTTGTTTAAAATTTTATTTGCTTTTATTTTAACCGTTGAAGACACAATACTTGTTTTAAAATAATCTTGCCCATCGGTTCCAATTATTGAAACTTGTTATCAGTGAAAGTGACGAGCAAAGTGGTAAAATTGAATACAAAACAGAGTAAAATTCAAAAGTGATAAAAAATGAAAATTTTTCTTTAAGTGGGTATTGATGTTGCAATAAATGAACAAAATTAAACTTAAATAATTGTAATTGGAGATGAAGCATAAAGGAACCAGGGCACAACTCACGAAACAGGATATAATTTGTTAAAAAGCTAAGTATAAAATATCAAAATTACTTTAATTTAATCAGAGCTCGAAGTTGACTTGAGATTTTCATCGATTTTGTATGGCAAAGTTGACTCAACTCTATACAAAATTTAACCGAAAAATTTAATTGGTTTACAAGATCTTAAAAATCCCTTCTTTATTAAAACTGGTCAATAGACTTTATTAAAATGTTGTACGTAAAGCTTGGATTACGTGAAATGATTACTTAAAAATGTAGAGCATTGAGTTTCAAGTTAAGTCAGCCTTTCTCGATATAGAATTCGGTTGGGGGATGATCTATGGTCGGGGGTGTTGATGCAAGGTGAGGACGGCTAAAACTAAAGCGGAAGCATATCTTTTGATCATCATTCTCAAAAGTTTTAAGTTTTCATATTTTTTTTATGTGATAATTGAGCTGCTGAGAATTGTTTTTGGTCTAGTTTCGAGAGCACAACTAATGAAAACCAGTGGTTGACATGAATTCATCTTTTCATCTTTAAATTTTTATCTTTTTTCTTCTTTTCATAAAAATTTTGTATGGAAATGAAAGAAAATTCATCAAGATGAAATCGTGTCATCTTCTGGAATGAAAATAAATATTATTAGATAAAAGCTTTTAAGAATGACTCCGGAAAGTCATTTCAAATTGAAAACAAAAAAAAATTGCCAGAATGCAACACTAATTTGTTATCGAATTTACTGTTGTAAAAAGTTATACTATCTGCATTTTACGGAAGAATATTTTCATCTGTACTTTAGCAGGATGGGGGGTAAAATCTCCGAAAGATATTAATTCCACGATCCTGCGGGATAATAACCCCGAAAAACGCAAATTTTTAAATGTTTCCTGCGGGATAATATTCCCACTTAGAAATACACGTGGTACTTACATTTCTAAGTGGGATTATTATCTTTATGGAACACGATTAAAATTATGGATTAAATTAAATCCAAAAACTTATTTGTCATAGTGGATAATAATTCCACTTGTATTAATAAGTGGATTTATTATCTAATAGGATTTTCATCCAAAAAAAATCCAACTTATTAATTTGTCAGTTTCATTATTCCAAAAACTTAAATAAGAAGAAAACATAAATATTGGTTGAACGTTTAATTTGAAAACTTGGTTTTTTATGCCTTTTGTAAATTTTCTAAAAGCCTAATGCCAAGATGTTAAAGATGATATATCAAAGATCTATTCATTCAAGAAATCATTTTTGTTTTTGCAAATCGTTTTGAAATGAAGTCTATCAAAATTAAAAACATGCGGAACTAATAAATTACGTTTTTATCATTTTTATTATTGGAAAAATGTGAATTCACGTGAGACTGTTCATAGAGGATATAGATTTTTTTGCTTTTTTGGAAGCAATGGCTGTTTCTCCCTTACCCAATAAAAAAATAAAGCCTTGTTCTTTTTAAAGCAGCAAAAAGATTTTAAATTTATTGCGGCATTGCTGAGAAAAACGCAAAATACGCTTTCTGTAAGCAAGCAAACCAGCATGCAAGTTAATCGGCAAGAAATCTCAATGAAGAGACATCGAATAGAGCTGTATTGTTTTTGGGCAAGGTAGGAACACCTGTTGATTCAAAAAAAGCAAAAAACCTTCCTTTCTTACGAATTTTAATAACCAAAGTTTACTATCATTTTTATAAAATTAAACTTATGATGAAAAAATTTTATAAAATCCTTTAAAGAATGTTCGTTTATTTTTAAACCTTCAAACGTATGCTATGCAAAGCACAGCTAATCGATGAAGACTTTCTATGGTAATAGTCTATGCCGCTTATGCTGTGACTCGTCTACCTTTATATTTTCAAGCATATGCTGAGAGAAGCTTAGCTGACTCGTCAAGCTTTATACCTCCAATAATATGCTGAGCGCAGCTCAACTAGTTCGTCAAGATTTATACTTTTAAATTAATTAACAAGACCTTGATGGTACGGTGTGAATATATCCGCATTGGGTTTCTACCCGATACACTAGTGTCTGACGGGTTTTATTTTAAGCTTTTCTTTAAAAGAGCCCAAGTTTGAAAGAATTTACAAAGTATTACTTTTGAATTTTGTATAAATCACCAGGGTGGAGATTTAAATCATAAATCAAAATCAAAATCATTTTGCAATGATTTGAAAAATGATTTTTGATTTAAATCACATTGTATGGGGATTTTTTTGGGGATTTTAAATCACTTGAAGGTGAAAATTTGTTTGGAATTTTTCAGATGATTAATTAAAAACATTAATCATTAATCATGGATATCCTTTCTGGTAATGGAAAATTGACAGCAACCATTGATTCCATGGTTTAGTTTATGAGTTTTTTCATTTTCTGTGTCTTGTTGCTTAAGTATGCAGATGTTGGTATAGCTGTACATGATAAAACATGAATGGATCTTGCTCCACATGAGGAACTACTCACTTCCAGTCCCTTTAAAGCGCTTTTTGATAAGTTTTCATTGTCAAGGAGGTAAACGTTTTTTTCTTAACCAAAGTATGATTAGACTCTGGAACTGCCCAGTTCCTTTACATCCAAAAAAAAATTTGTGTCTCTTTTTAATCAAGGAATCACATCCTGAAACAAATTTTTTTTTGTGGAAACGATCAGTTCATTTAGTTCCCCCACCTTGCAAATCACTTTAATTCTTTGCTGAACATTTTCAATAGTTATATGTCCATCAGTTTGTTTAAGTGACCCTGTATGCTTGAATAATCAGAATAGTTTCAAAATTTCAAGATTATAAACAATCGAATCTCTTAAATGGTCTAAAACCATTGGAAACCTTCTTAGGGCTTGGAGACACGGTTATACAGCATCAGAACTGCCATCATTTTAAAATTCTAGTTAATTTAATAAGAATTTGAGCAACAACATTTTAATTTTGCGTTCTTTTTATGTTTAAATCTTTACATTTTTCTTAGCAAAATGTGTAAACAAATAATATGATTAGATTTATAAATCTAATTTTGTTAAGGGCAATTTACAATTCTTTGAATGACTTAGAAAATTTCAGGAAATAATCATTCGAAGGATTGAAAATTAAAGAAAACTGTTGAAATTAGTATTAAATAACAACTGCTGAGTTGTAAAACAGACAAAAATCTACAATTAAGTAGTTTTTCTGTATGCTTTAAGTCATTAAATAATGAAATATTTCAATTCTTTTAAAAAATATCATGTGTCATCGAGTTATTAAAAAGCTTTTTGTTGTCCTAATCCGTGAAAAAATACAAAATTTTAAAACATATATTTTTAATTTTTCACTTAATTTTGTTGAATTTTCAACATTTTAATAGATCGTTTCTGAAGAATTAATTGTCGTTATTATCTCCGAAAGTTATAGCTTATTTATTCTTCACAGTAATATGAAATTAATGAAAATATTTTTCATCTACTCCTAAACATTTGAACAAAACTGTGATCTTTAAACAGTCGAATGAATGAAGCGAAACAAAATGGAATTAAAGCTACATTTTCTTTAAACATTCGAGCGAATCTCGAACATAATTTTATATGGAATAGCTAACATCTTTAGATCAGTTGAACCCACTTGAACCCACCTTGATTTTATTTTTTAAACAATTTGGAATAATATAATTTTAAAAAGCAAATATTCAACCAATATTTATGTTTTCTTCTTATTTAAGTTTTTGGAATAATAAAATTGACAAATTAATAAGTGGGATTTTTTTTGGATGAAAATCCTATTAGATAATAAATCCACTTATTAATACAAGTGGAATTATTATCCACTATGACAAATAAGTTTTTGGATTTAATTTAATCCATAATTTTAATCGTGTTCCATAAAGATAATAATCCCACTTAGAAATGTAAGTACCACGTGTATTTCTAAGTGGGAATATTAATCCGCAGGGAACATTTAAAAATTTGCGTTTTTCGGGGTTATTATCCCATCTGCATTTTGGTGATTTATAGATTGAGGTATTTCTAGTTGTTATGAGATTTTATTGGGATTTTACTGTTTATCGTATTTTTTTATCTTAATTTTCACCAAAAAAGATTTTCTTTTCAAGGTAAATATTTAAATTAAAATAATTTATTGAAATTAAAAACGACTTTAACCGAAGTGTGTCTAAAGTAAATTAAAATTAGAATTGAAACAAAGCAACGATTTTTCTGAATTTGTAAACATTATTCGATACCAATTGAAAAACTGACTACTCATTGCTTCCACGCAAACAATCTCCGTTCATTCACAATAATTTTCAAGTTTGTATATCCAATTAGCGGCATAACAACTGACTAAATTTTCATCTAATTAACGTGCGTGAAGATAAAATCATCAGAAAATAATAATATTTTTTTTTTTTTCAAAAAACAC